TCTCTATGTTCGTCTTAACTTGTTGGTGCAAGTTCTGGATAAGTTCAGCCTTCTTGGAACCACTTTGACTGACAAACATGGCTGGTGGTAAAGGCTTAAGATCCAATGGTGTCTCTGGATTAAAACCATAAACAGTCTCAAAGGGCGAGTGGTTAGTGATGGAATGCTTGGCATGGTTATAAGCAAATTCAATAAATGGTAAACAGTTTAACCAATTTTTGATGTTCTTACCCACCGTAGCTCTCAACAGCTGATAGAGAAAGTATGGTTCACTACCTCAGTTTGGCCATCAGTTTGAGGGTGACAAGTGGTCGAGAAGAGTAGCTTGGTGCCAAGCTTCTTCCATAGAGTTCTCCGGAAATGGCTGAGGAACTTGGTGTCACAATCTGAAACAATGTTCTATGCACACCGTGTAGAATCACTTCTTTGAAGAATAAATCAGCAGTCTTGCTGGCATCATTGGCCTTGTTGGATGGTATGAAATGGGCCATCTTTGAAAACCTGTCTACTACAACAAAGATGGAGTCGTTGTGTTTGATCTCGGGCAAGCCCAGCACAAAGTCCATAGATAGGTCTACCCAAGGGGCATTAGGAATAGGTCTACCCAAGGGGCATTAGGAATAGGTCTACCCAAGGGGCATAGATAGGTCTACCCAAGGGCATAGATAGGTCTATCCAAGGAGCATTATCCATCCCCACTGTAGAAGAGATAAGATCTCTCTTCTTTAACCGAACCCCAACAAGGCCCCTGGTCTGGATGAACTAACATCAGCTTTCTTCAAAGCTTCTTGGGACCTTACTGGAGCTGAAGTGGTGACCTCTATCAAGAACTTATGCGCATCAAACTTCCTTCCTCAACAGCAAACTACACTATTCTCTCATTAGTGCTGAAGTTCTCCGGAGCAACCAAGATAATCAGGCCAATATCATTTCTTAATACCATATATAAAGTTATATCTAAGCTCCTGGTAAAGAGATTGAAACTGGTTCTTTCAAATCTAATTCTACTAAGTCAGACTGCTTTTGTTAAGGGAAAATTACTTGTGGAAAGTACTACTCTAGCAGGAGAACTGATAAATGGTTATCACAAGAATAATGGACCAAAGAAGATTACCATAAAAGTGGACATTACAAAGGTGTTTGATACTCTATCCTGGGAGTTTCTGTTCTCTTGTCTTGAGGGTCTTTAATTTCATGCACAGTACATAAGACAGTTAAAGGCCTCTGTTTGCACTACAAGCTTCATGGTTGGCTACAATGGTTCAGTGCATGGTTACTTCAAAGGTAAATGAGGCCTACGGTAGGGAGATCCACCATCACCCTATCTATTTGTGATCACTATGAATTGTTTATCGTATATGCTAAATAGAGCGGCGACACAAAATAGGTTTTGTTTCCACACAACATGCTCCTCTACTAAACTCACTTACTTCTCCTTTGTCGATGATCTTCTCATATTTATTGATGGCTCTGTTGACTCAGATCAGCAAGTACTGCAAGTTCTTAAAGAGTTTGAGACAAGATCAGGTTTGGCGGTCAGTATGCAAAACACCAGTTTCTATGCTTCAAGATTAACTCAATCTGAAACTGACCTTATTCAAGCTTCAACATGTATGTCACTTGGATCTCTTCCATTCCGGTACTTAAGAGTCCCTTTGAATTCTAGGAAGCTCTCACTCACGAACTGTGAGCCTTTGATCCACCAAATAAAGACCAAATTCTCTTCATGGTCAGTGGAGACTCTGTCGTTGTCTAGAAGGCTACTCCTTATCAAAACTGTGATTGCGGGAAACACTACATTCTGGTGCTCTGATTTTATTCTACCAAAAGCATGCATAGCGAGAATCAACTCCCTCTAGTCAGTTAATGTGGAAGGAAATTTTAGAAGGTCAGAATACTGCTTGAGTATCGTGGGAAACAGTAGTGTTGAAAAAAAAGACAAGGGGTCTTGGAGTATAAGACCTGCGTACCTGGAATGAAGCGTGCACTTTTCGTCTGATCTTGATTATTTTCTTCAGACCTAACTCTGTCTGGGTCCAATGGTTAAAGGAGTTTATACTCAACGGCTCAATTCATAACGACTGGTCAACAACACCTAAGCAATCATACTCATGGCTAGTAAACAAACTTCTCAAACTCACGAATGAAGTGTTCCCCCTGATAAAGCTTAGCTTCAGAATGGAGAAACAGCTCGGTTCTGGTCAGATAACTGGACTCCATTTGGAGCTCTCTATACTCATCTCTCGAGCACAAACTCAAGATTGGGGATACCTCAGCAAGCAACTTTATCTTCCTTGTGTTTTAGAGCTTGACAGGTTCTCCCGCCATCACCCGCAAACGCAGCTTTTGGGGTTGTTGGCGTTTTACAACAATCACTTAAAACGCTATAAACCGCTTAAAATCGCTCTGAATCTCTAAATTCAAAAGCTGGTACCAGCTGCCATTTGCGGTTCCGGGCGATTAAGGGAGGACAAAAATATTTGTTTTTTCAAAAAAATTATATAAATATAAAAATAAAATATTCAATAAAATTCTAAATTAAATAATTGAAATACCAGAATATAAATAAATATATCATGTTTTAATTTATATTATAAAATTTCCAAAAAAATATTTTCTTTAATTTTAAACAATTTAAAAGTATAGTCTTATCAATAAAAATTTTGTATTTATTATAAAAATATGATTTTAATATTTTGGTAATTATATAAAATATAAATATTATTAATTTATTTTATAACTGCTGTTGTATTTGGTAGTAAAGCAGTCATAAGTATCCCGCAAACGCAACAATTTTTAACCGTTGAACCAGTCGTCTAAATCTTTTACTAACGCTTAAAACCGCAATCTCCCACATCCGCACACGCCCGCAACCTCAACTGCAATCACTGCGTTATAACTAGTCAAGCTCTTAATGGCTCGTGGGTCCTTCCTCCAGCTCGAACTGAGGCGCAAATCCAACTTTACGCCTATCTCACAAATGTGCAATTGACTGAAAATCAAGATTACTATGAATGGGAGATAAATGATCAAACAGACACAAGCTTCAAAACATGTATCATTTATGATTATCTGTCTGAGCAGCACCCTGATCTATCTTGGTATTCTTATGTTTGATTCTCTAGAGCTATTCCACGCCATAGCTTCCACATGTGGCTAGTGATTCAGAACATAATTCAAACTAGAGACCGATTGATTCAGTGGGGAATATAAGTTGACCATCAATGCCTCCTCAGTAATAGAAGCCCATAAACAATAGATCATCTTTTCTTCTCCTGTGATTACAGTTTTGCTCTGTGGAAATTTGTGGCAAAAAGACTGCAGCTAATACCTATCAGAGATTGGGCCGACACCCTTCACCAGATTATATCCCTCTTCCTGCCAACTCCACAAAGACTTCTAATCCTTCTTACATGGTAGGCGACGATTTATTGGGTATGGAATGAGAGAAATACATGACACTATGCCAACACTTTCCCATCTACTGATAAGATCTTCAGATTATTAGATCACCAACTCAGAAACAAACTGCAAAGCTTTAGAGAATCCATAGTTTCGGTTTCAATGATATCTATCGATTTCTCCGCTTCTCGACCTTTTCTCTCTACTAAAGGGAGACTCAACTTGGGCTAATAACTAATAGGTTTTATTATTTTTGATTCTTGTTAGAAAAACTAAAATGTTGGGGATTTTTGTAAATATTTTACGTCTTTTATCTTATATATTAAAACAGAAGTCATGACTTGATTCATGTGTGATTTTTAAAAAGATGGACTATTACTAGAAATTCATGTTACATTCACTCTCTAATAATCTTATCATTATTATATCTTATGAAAAATCATATCTATAATAACAAAGATACGCTTAACAATTTGGTTTTGGTAAATTACCTCACACCTTCCAACTTAGTCACACAAAATATGTTAATAGATATAAGTTTAGGAATCTACTATTATTTATAAGGAAATATGTCAATAATAGTTAAATGCATCTATAATATATTAACAAAATCACAGATTCGTAATATGGAATATTTATATACCCTAAAAATGTTACACACTATATATACTAGATAAATTTATTTCGATGTAAAATTTTAAAATTATCTTGTTTTAAAAAAAGAAATTGTTTACAAAATTTCTTTTTAATAAAATTCTTTATAATATTAATTTATGAAGTTATAAGTTTAGTTTTTAGCAAAAAATTCTTTAAAGTTTATATTATCTTTGCAAATTAAAATATACTAATATTTAATCAAGTTCTATTTATATTACTTTATCTAAAAATGAAATATTAATCTAACAAACAATAAAATGTAGAAGAAGAAACAAACACATGTTTGAAAACATGTGTAATATATAAAATTAGAAACAATCTATTTGATTAAAACACGTATTATATAATATTATTATGTTTGAAAAACATTTACTATACATATCGTAAATATGTGATTACTATAATATATACCAATTTACAAGTGAAAACAAAATGTTTATATAATTAACTATAAAAGAAAACAAACACCCGTGCGGTTGCGCGGGTCAAAATCTAGTTTTAGTTAAAAAAGCATTTTACAGAAAAAATAGGTTTTAAAGTTAAAAAATTCAGTGTAATACATGATGTGAAAATCTAGTGTGATACACGATATGGTATATGTGGAGAAGAAGAGAAATCACATCTTAAACAAAAAAAATCGGTAGTAAATATTTTTATAGGTTTTATCGACAGAAATCTAATCCATTAAATAAAATTAATTCATAAAATTTCACGTTAAATATTTAGTTCCAAACCTAACTGGAAATTATAGCATTAAAAATCAATTTTTGGGTTTTAATTTATTATCTTTGTTTTTAACCAATGATTTTCTCTGATTAATTTCGTGTAATGGTGTATGTAATTCTTTAGTATTATGTTAATCTGTCACCGTTTGACTTTCAGGCATTAACGTGAAACCAAAAGCAAAATACGAATCAAACTTTAAACACACCTTCTAACCAGAAAAAGGCCCATATTCCAATTAGAGTCACCAATAATTCCCGAAGTTACACATAGTCATGGACTTGTTAATCCCACGTGTTCAGTTCCTATAAAGAGAATCAAATGAAGCGTTGACTCAAGTGACAAAACTACATTACACTTCTGTGGTATAAGACTTTCAAGTCTCAATACCTCTATTCATCTATACTCAAAGTTTGTTACGTCTTTCTGTTGCATCTTTACTCGGTCATAAAAGAGTATCACCTTGGTGTATTCTGTTCAAAGAAATAAATAGGCAACAGGTCAGCACAAATCATGCAATAAATCCGTACCATTGATCTACTTAACATATAAGCATATATGGTTGATCTATAACCTGTTAGTAGTTGTATACTATAAACTACAAATCTGATGGAAATGAAAATCAGTCATCTCCTTAAATTGAATTCATAAAAGAAGAAACTTAATTAACGGGAGAAGTTTCTGAACTCTCGACCAATGCACACTCGCCATTAAACCGTCAGGTCTCAGGTAAAATGGCAAAGCTAAAATGTCCTAAACCATTGTAGGCGAGTAAAATAGGCATACACTAGACCTAAGGAGAAACCTATTCAAAGGCGAATTTTCTGAAATGGAAAAATTTATCAAAAGGGATATGGAATGCATACCTATTGCATCTTCTTTATCTTGCTTGTGGGCTTAGCAATAAGCTTCTGTAGTAATCTTTCGTCAATCTTTCTGTATTGTGTTTGAATCATACGATGTGTGACAGATAGCTTCTCATCAATGTGATGCTGGTACCTCTCGTACAGAATGGGAATCAACATACAGAGAACAATACCTGTCCAATTAAATCACGCAGAAAAAGTCAAGAAGTTTAACTGCATAAAGACAACTATTCCCTGTCTAAAGACACTTATAAGTGTCATTAATCATGAACAATGTGAAGGAACAAAGGAAAACAAAAATACTCACCAAGATAGAGTATTGTGAAGAAGTTGAAGAAACTGCCAACAAGTGATACAGTCCACAACACAACACTAATCTGCCATAGGAATAGAAAGTTGAAAAGCAATACGAAAAACGAAAGGACGAGACCGCAGGGGATAGTGTTCTAACCCGGAAGAGTTGTTTGGCGTTTCTGTTAACGTAAATATCACGAGCAATTGAGAGAAGAGTATTGATTAAGAGTCGTAGAGGATCAGCAACCATAAGAAGAGATGCTTTCGAGATTTCAAGATTAGGAAGTTCAGGCATAGGCCTAATCAAGAAAACATGTAATTATGAAAGAATCAGAGAGAAATAAGAATCGTTTCTATAACCATCTTCGTATCAACAAAACGATGCAGAATCTATCGGAGATACTAGATTAGATTAACCTATTGAATAGAATGGCAGATTTGGCCCAGAGGAAGAGTATAACGACGAGAAGTAGCTGAATGTTGGCGACAAAGGGGAAGAAACTATAACCACATTTCTCGAAGAGGAACCATAACCACGTCGCTGATCCGAGCAGAAGAATCCCACCGCGTTTGTTCTTCCACAGAATCAAATCGGTGACTGCGAAAATCATTGAAACAGAAGTTCCGATCAGAAGAAAGGAAAATCTATTGATCGGTGAGATCGAATAAATGATTAGGATTGAAGCGGAGAGAGAACCTGAGGCATGGCCGATAGATTGAAGAAGGTGAGATTTATCCATCGAAGGAGGAGATCTCACGAATACCAGAAACTGAGCGACTCCCTTTTTTTCTTCAAAACTGGGTGCACCTATTTGTTATTCGCACATCGTTTTAATGTAATTTAGATGACAATTCTATTATCAATTATAATTTAATTAATTAATTTTTAAACCAGATTTTGATTTTGAGTAATATAATATAACCTCCTTAAGTTAATACTATATAAATTAAAAATCTCTATGAAATAATAAAATTTATAGTTTTAAATTGAGTTTTTGATCCATTAATATATCAATAAATTAATAATCTCTATAAATTAATAAAAAATTATAGTTTTGGTGTACTCCCAACATTATTAATTTATAGAAGTTTCACTACAGAATAGATTTATTTATAAAAAAAATATATATTTTGATCTAAATTTTAAAAGTTCAGAATATTTTTTGTTGTAAAAATCTAATTAAAACACATTAAAATATTATAATCAATTTTAAAATAACCAAATTATTCTATTTAAATCTGTCTCATTTTTGAGTCATACCATTAATTATAACTCAATTAAATCGAGACATTTGGTTTAACTCAATTAGACCAACTTATTTATAAGATGTTTAATGATTTTTCTATCTAGATTTACGAATCACTGAATATGTTTTATTTTTCTATTTTAAGTATAATAGTTATATTAATCTATAATTCATAAAGTAATTTATATATTAGGTTATTTATCTAAATTTACTGATTGATATAATTATTTAATTATGAGTTATTTTGATATGTTTTAAGAATATGTGAGTATTATAAATACATGTGAAATTTAGTTAGGTAGTTAAATTTTTTAAAACATGTTAGCTAATATAAACCAAGCATGCAATCCGGTTTTGATCAAATCTGGTTTGAAAATATAACTATCTGAAAAATAATAGAATGGTTTTATTAAAAAATTATCAAATCGAAAAGTCAAACTAAGTAAAATCTTGAGAGAATATAGCATATATGTAAATAGTATCAATACTATTAAAAGAGAAGGAGTCCTAAAAAATCTACTTATACAAGTTGTTTGGACTCTTTCATTAGACTAACATTTTTTGGTCTTCCCTTATATTTATCTAACTATATAAATACTATTTCTATAACTATATAAATACTTTATAATTTAAATGAACTCATTTATTACTTTCCATAATCTACTATATAATTACTCTNGTAAAATATCCTACAATTTAAATTTCAGATAGTTTGAATATCTTCAATATTTTGAATAGAAAATATTCGGGTAATTTATTTGTTTGCCTAATTTGGTTTATAAATAATATTTCTGGATATTTATTATTTAAATATTATATATAATTAATATTTGTAGGTATGTAATTTATATTTAAAAATTTTAAATACCCATTTGGTTGTCGGTGCGGTTTCTATTTTTTGGTTCCAGAAATATATGATATGATCGATTATTTATGAAATTTGGTTTAATTTTCGTTTTTTTTTCAGTTTGTTACGGTTCGGTTCACCTGGAAAAATGTATAACATGTGCATTATCTTATATAAAAATTCATTTATAAGAATTTATTTTATTTCAAAAATAAACCCGCGCTTTTTAAGCGCGGGTCAAAATCTAGTACTGTATTAAAAGTTGCAATGCGATCAGCTTATATTTCTGGTCAAAATTAATTAATTAATTAATACATAAATGTATGAGTAACCTTGTTTGTAAATAATTTTAAAAACAATGGCAGAATTCTAGTAGAGATTTTGTTTTATAGTATTGATATAGATAGATAGATTATAATACCAAATATATGAGGTATTTTGTGTAGATGTGTATATATATATATATATTTATGAATTATTTAATAAGAAATAATTATATATCAATCTATATTTATATTTTTAAACTACAATATAATTTCTTTTAAACACGTTATTTCAATTTTGCAGTTTAAAAATGTATAAATACAAAGACTCTAAATATAAACAAAAAATATCTATGTTGCCACCAAAGAAATAAATACACTTAAAGAAATGTTACCAGTTTATATGTTATGTTAGAACCAATAAATCAGGCTTTCATTCATCTAATATATTAAAACTGAAGTACAAAAATAAAATAACCCTGAACTTTCCTCAAAAATTACAATCTTATGCCACTGCTTTAAACACGGTCGTTTTATACCACTAAAACCAATCTAATTAAATTTGACTCACCTTGACCTTAAATAACGGGAAACAAAACCGACAGAACCAATCTCGTGTGTTTCTCTATTGTAAATGTAGAGTAAGACAAACCCTAGAAGATGCTCGATTAAGCTGAGGCACGATCTCTATGAGGTGTTTCTGTTTTTAATGGTGGATCAGTTCAGATTGATGTTTTTAGGGTTATTTGGCCGGAGCTTTCCGAGGTAGACGCGGCGGGAGAACAATAGAGGGAGAATTATCTGAGAAAGTAGATCAACCGAGTTACACCAAAGTGATCAACGGAATCTCGCCATTTGATTCGAAATCTCAATCGTCGGGAAAATTTGGCTCGAGTTAGATTCTCCAACATCTCTGTCTTTTCAATTTGGTAATATCTCAAACAAGTTTTTGGTTTTGCTTTGTATGTCTAAGTTCCAACGCGTGATTGCTCCTGTTAAAGTCTCCACCTTTAGGAATTTGACGTATAAGAAAGAAGTGAAAATGTTGAGCTTTATTGATGGGTTTCTTCAGGTGTGGTGGTGCTATATACATCAAAGGCGTTAATCAAAAAAAAAAAAATACATCAAAGGCGTTGCAGGTTACTAAGTACAAAAGGTGAAGTTTTATGGAACTTTCTGTTAAGTCATTACATCTGTAACATTGTTTATATAGGTTTATATAAGTTCAAAGTTTTTGTCGAGGTTTGAGGAACTTGAACACTTGAGATATGATCATTGCTTGCTTTAATCTTTATAATTTGAAGTAAACAAACAGTCAAAACAACTACAATATAATTACATGGCATGTTTTGCAAAAATAAGACAGCAGTAATCGACATTATCCACACTGAAAAATTATCTCATATTTTAAGTACTTTTTTTACCAAATTTTTTTTATAGTATAATCTTGGACCATGACCGCGTAATTCAAGCCCTGAATTATGTGAACCAATGTTTGATCATCATATTCTCTACCGAACGCAATTAAAAACTGTTCCATAAAATAATTCAATAAAATTATGCCTCTGTTAAATTATTTATTGAATAATACTAAAACGAAACAATAAAAATAGTTATAATTAGCTATCAAATTTATTTATAATAACATAAGATAATTAAAAGTATATTCATAATATTTGATAAAACTAAAAGATTATCAACACAAAATAGTGAAAATAAAAATTATAATAAATTCAAAGCCATTTAAAATACCAGTGATATCCTCGACCTTCATTACAAATCTCTCAACACCTCTTTGAAATCGAATACTAGCCATCTTCGTCACTTGATAAAAAAAACCATCTTCATCAGCAAACTTTGAAAGGGATGCCACTCCCGATGTGAGATTCTATCGTTAATAGGCATTCTAAACCATCTAAACTACTTTAGCCTCGAGTATAACTATCTCATAAAAGAAACACAACTAAAATAAAAGAATACAAAGTCGTGGCCCTTTGATTTACTTTGTAAATTAACAATTTAATCTGGAAGTTTATGTTAATTTGTTTCTTCTACTGAATACACTGGCCCATTTATTTACTTATAAATTATTTTACTACTATGATCTATTAATATGTTAATTTAGCTTCGGTAAATTAGACTAATATATATATATATATATATATATATATGTACCAAAATGGATTTACAGTAGTGAAATTATATGAAAAATAAAATAAACGCTTCCCATTATAAAAAATAATATAATATATGCTATGTATGGGTTCATATATATATATATATATATATATATATATATATATATATTCTTTTTTTAGTTTATATTCTAATTTTTTATAATATATAAATACACATATAAAAAACAATTAAAGGAATTTAATATGGGAACACTTAAAACTAAGACATATAAAAAAGAAGAATGTTATGTGTAAAAATGTCATATAAAAAATATTTATAATATAGTAAATGTTTTATGTTTATAGCATTAAAATATATATGCTATTCGTATTTATAAAAAAATTACATCCGCGCGGGCGCGCGGGTCAAAAACTAGTATTCATTTATGTTTACACACACCCAGCCCCACCTAGAGTTTTAATAGCAAGCGAGAAAAACCTTTAATGTCTTGTTGACTTTCTCCAATATAATCTGGATAAAATATCGGGCTTATTGGTGAGATAGCCAATTTTAGAGATAAAATTAAGAATATAGCATATAATTTGACAATATTAGATCTCATAGCATTTTGTTCATTTTCTTCCAGTTCTCTCCTTTCTTTAAACAAGTTGCCAGTAATAACTTCAAAAAAAAATCTGTTATTTAAATAAAAATATTATTAGAATAATGGTAGTTATGACATCCACGTTAATTGTGATGATATGATATAAATAGAATATACCATGGTAAATGGTATAGTTTATGTTAATGAAATTCTAAAATAATTTAAACATATTCTATTACTATATATCCAAAATTAGTTAAATTGAACCTAACCACTAAACCCTATAAATAAATATACCCTATAAGAAAATATAAACCCTAACCCAAATATCAAAATATGTACATAATACATAATATTAAATATTATCAAAATAGAATAGTAACAAACTAAATAGTATAATACATATTATTTAAATTTTTAAATATTTATGATAACGTGCGCCACTTTTAAGAGCAAATCGACGTTTGATGTGATCCCACAAATCTTTTGCTACTTCTTTATGGGAGATATTGGACCTGAGTTTTGGCTCGATGGTTTGTTTGATCCATGTAACTAACAAGTGATTGTTAGCTAGCCAATCTTCATAATCCGGAGAGTCGGTTGTTGGTTTTGGAATGCTTCCGTCGATGAAAGCAAACTTCTTTCGAGCGCTCAAAGCTACACGTATGTTTTGAGCCCATTCGTCGTAGTTTCGTCCATTAAGTAAAGGTTGAGATATGATCGCACCAGGATTATCGTTTGGTGACAGATCATACGAAGAGATCGTTCGTCGTTTCGGTGTTGTCGCTGCAACAGCTAATTCCGCCATTGTTGTAGTCGAGAGTCGGGTCGAGGTTTAAAAAAAAATCGAAGGTTTCAGTTTCGTAGCTCTGATACCATGTGAAATCTTATAATCGTATAATCGTTCTTATTCATCAAGGACCTCCAAGGTCTGTATATATATACATCAGTTTCCTAAATACTATTGAATAAAGGAAAACTATAATAATGTAAATATTCTATTCTAATGTTTATCTAAGTTTGGGATATGTTAATATCCCTAATACATGTCGTTTTCCATGGCCTAACCTAATCAAGGTGCAATATCTTTTGCTTGGAAGACATGGTATCAAAGATTTTAAGAAAATAACATGTTTGCTTTGGAAGTTTCGATCCAATATATATAAGAAAGGTTTAGGTTAGAGTTTAGGCCGTAACTTTAGCATATTCCAACTCAAAACAGTAGAATACACCGTCATAATCCCATTTCTTGACTATCAAATTTAATTAAATTATGAAAAATTCGATTTACTGATTTATTATGAAAAAATAAAATATTTGCAACTATATTAATTGTCTTGATATTTATGTAGTAGTATATGCGATATTTTGTGTTTACAACTTGCGCCCTTTTTTGTATATTCCAATATTCTTGTTCACAATATTTTTGGTTTCTGATTTTTTTTTTTTGGTTCTTATTTGAACATAGATTTTCAACTAAAAAGATTACCCGCGTATATTGCAATTTTATTAGGGAAATTGTAATAAATACCACTTTCCTAATAACATTTTTCATTTATGCATTAACCAACTTTACCACTAAAATTTTAATAAGCAAAATACAATTATACCCCTAGCTAATAAAACCTAAAACTGATGTTTTCTTCCCCCACGAGATCCAACGATTGACGAATTGATGAGTTTTCCGGTGAGCTTTGAAGATGATGACGAGTTCTCCGGCGAAATCTGACGATGCTGATGAGTTCTCCGGCGAAGCACGAACGAGACGATCTCTCCGGCAGTGATACTCTGTACCTCGCTGAAACACATGCAAGTTCACCTCAGAAACCTATTGAATTTCCAATCTTTGCCAACAATACTATTCATATTCCCATCAATGATGCTCATCAGGTATCTCTTCAGATCTTATCTCTTTGCCTAAAACATGTTTGATTTTGGTTGTAGATCTTATCAGATGATGAGAAAAGATCTCTATACGACAGAAATGGTGAGGCATGAGTCAAAGGCGCCGGAATGGGAGGCATGAGGGTATATAAAACACATTTCTTCTTTAAGACACTCCGATGCTGAGATTGCTGACTTGGTCTTCTCTTACTTAACTTTTTTTAGGATTATAGTAATCCGTTTGATCTGTTCGAGTCACTCTTCGAAGGAATGGGTGGGATGGGAGGTGGAATGGGTAGTAGAGGTGCAGGGAGCAGAGCAATCGGCGGCGAGGATGAGTACTACTCACTAATCTTGGATTTCAAAGAAGCTTTTTTCTCTATGGAGAAAGAGATAGAGATCTCTCGGTTAGAGAGCTGCGTGACTTGCAACGGCTCAGGCGCAAAAGCTGGAACCAAACCAACCAAATGCAAAACATCAACTTTAATTTGAGTTCGTGAGCATGATGTTCATTAACCAATTAACATCAACTTTAATTTGGGTTTTGGCTCCTTTACAATTTTGGTTCCCTCTTTTCCCATGGAAGCTTCTCAGCTTCTACATCTAAGACCGCGGCCGTTGCTTGTCTGCTGCTTAGATCGTCACGAAACCGCTTTTATTCACCGTTGTAACTGCATTACTTCAACGATTGATGGCAAAACTCAAATTGGTAGGTGAATTTTTTTACTTCTCTCTCTGAAGCATATTTGCAAACAGTTTGGTATGCGTCTTATAAGTCTCCTACTTCCTTTGCAGAATTTTTTTTTTCTGAGCTGTTAAGTTTACAGAAGAAGAAATGGAGATGGTTCTGGAGAGAACCCAGATGTAAAGTTGACGCCTTCAATAAAATCAGTGCTCGTGTTGTTTCTCTTGAGTCTCAGAAACTCGATGTATTCGTGCTTCAGGGTCTGGTTGCAAACTCAATGTCTTCGTGCTTCAGGCTCTCTAAAACTCGATGTCTTTGCCCACACTCACTCAGATTGTGTGAGCCGTGGCGGTCCCAAACCAGCAGCTGATCTCCGCCGTCACGTTCTGCCATGCTCGAGACGTCTACCACGGTGATCACAAAGTAGAGAGTCTGCTTTTAGATCAGAAGGATAATCTCAAAGTCTCAGATGGTTGCCTAGACCCGCAAGTTTGAATGCTTTAGATATCATATCGTTTTTGCAAGGTTTTCTATATATCAGGTTTGTTTGATCATGATGGGCTCTAGGTTTGTTTCAGGAACTCCGGTTTCGAAGATCATATCAAAGTCAGAAGAGATATCTAACGTTGTGAGCTTTACCTCGAGGAAGAAAGATTAAAACCCATGTTGTGAGGTGAAGAAGAAAGAAGGATATAAAACACAGTATGAAGAGTTTTGCAACAATGAATTAAAACCCATGTTGCAGAATCTGCTGATGATGTTGAAGAGAGTGAATTCTCCACCGGTGTTCTTCTTGCCTTCTGACACTGAATAGAATATGATAGACCAAAAGCTACAGAGATTATGAGGGGTGTGTAACAGTTTAAATCTCCTTATGGGAATTTGAGTTTTGTTATCAGGTGGAGAGTCGTTAGAGAAGTGGGATACGGTGTTATACTTGTACTAACTTCTTAGCAGTTTTGTTTCTTGTTGTTTGCAAAATTACATTCTTTTCTTCTTTTTCATGGTTGATTCTACATCCCCTGAATGGGTATATTGTTTTGTACTGCAATGCATTCTTTTTGTTTTAGGCAGTAGCAATTAGCTGTTAGTTGCTTTCGTTTGAATGTATCAGCACTAGGAAAAGAAGGAGAATAACTACATTCTTCTTCCATCAGGAAATTGTGAAATCTTTTCAATGGCATCAATTTTCATGACAACAAGTCTAAGTGTACTTGTTTTGGCTTTGTTCATTTAGCTGCTCTCTTCTTTTCCCTTTACTTTGTCTAAACTTTTGTTCTTGTCATGTGTAATGCAGCACGAAGTTAGTAGGAGCCATTGTGACAACGTGATCAGAGCTCTTCCCTACCTGAAAGTCAAGCAGGGAAGTGAACATGTTTTTACATGTGGTTTGACGCTTGCTGTTGGTCAGAGGAAAGTTGCAGGGTTTTCTGAGAAAAATCAGAGACGAGACTAAGGTGGAAGATTGAGATACAAGTCAGTGAAGTGATTTTCAGTGAGTTCTATAAAGAGGGTGTACAGATCAAGAGGGTGTGGTGAAAGATGTTGGAGATGGGAGTTATGCTGTTACCTACGTTGTGCCTAAGAGAGGTAACTATTTGGTGAGCATTGAGTGCAATGGGGTTGCTATCATGGGAAGTCCTTTCCCTGTCTTCTTTAGTTAAGGTAAGATCTTGAGTTTTGATAAGAAAATCTTGATTTATGACAGTTTGTTTGATAGTAAATGTTTTGTCTTTATCAGGATCTTCTTCAACCGGACTGATTGGTTCTGTTCCAGCTTCATACTCAAACCTTATCAATCAGACAATTCCGAACATGCCAAACTACACTGGTTCTGTTGCCGGTGGTTTTCTGAGCGTTACCAACATAAGCCAACTTGGACGTATCGTGAATGTTCTTGGTGGACCCATTGACGAGAGAGGCAAAATTAGTAAGTAGTCTGTGCCATATTTAATCGATGTGTCTGTTTTTGTGAACTTATCATGACAATTTTGTTTTTGTTGCTGTTTCTCAGAGACCGAGCACTACCTACCTATTCACATAGATGCTCCGGCTTTAGTTGATCTAGCCACTGAGAAAGAGATCCTTGCCACTGGTATTAAGGTAGATTATGTGGTCTTGTTCCTTTTGTTACATGTGTAGTTGTTGTTCGTGTTCGAAGCGATGTCTGCATGCTCCACTCACTTGGTGCAGACTGGAAACTAAAGTCTAAAGATGGTGCTTCAGAATTGGCCGAAGCAGAGAATAAGCTAGAAGCTGCTCAAATCATCAGAGAACATGCTGAAAATTCTCAGTCTGATTCTCAGCAAGCACAACAGTTACTTGATAAGTACATGGCAACAATCAATCCTGAGCAGGTCGATGTGAGTCTTGTCCTCCAGCTAATAAGGAAAATCTGTGGTGATTCAGAAGATGGTGGTGGTGCCATTCTTCTGTTCCTACCTGGTTGGGATGATATAAACAAAACAAGACAGAGATTACTTGACAGCCCTTTCTTCAAAGACACTAGTAAATTTGACATCATATGTCTTCACTCAATGGTTCCAGCAGGGGACAGAAGAAAGTGTATAAACTAAATTGTAAAGTCGTATAAACTAATTTAAGGGATTTATAAATCTTTTTAAAATTTTTTCCATTATTAAAACTATATTATATGATTTATAAACTTTCATAGATTAACTCTTACAAATGGCTTCATAAACCTTATAAAAATTTAACAAACCCTTATAGAACCTTTATGAATCTTAATGTACACTTACAAAAACTTTAAAATAATTTTTATAATTTATAAAGCCTTATAAATAAACTAATAATAATTTATAAATGATTTTATAAGTATTTATAAAGGTCTATAAACCATTATAAATGATTTAGAAACCATTATAAATAATTTATAAGCCATTATAAATAATTCATAAACTAATAACAAATGATTTTATTAACCCTTATAAATGATTTATAAAATCTTATAATCGTTTATAAATTCTAAAAATGTTATATAAACCTTTATAGTAAGTATACTAGATCTTATAAATGATTTATAAACTTTTATGAAAAAATTGTAAACCTTTGTGAATCATTTATAAACGATTTATAAATGACACATATATTCGTGATGCCTTTGATTTTTTTAAATAGTTTTGTAAATCCATATAAACTGTTTTATAAACCCTTATAAAACTCTTATATAAAATTTTAATATATGTATAAGATCTTAAAGATAAAGCTTTGAATAATATTGATCTATATGATTTTTGAAATCCTTATAAATGATTTATGAACCTTTATAAATGATTTAATTAGCCCTTATAAATAATTTATTAGATATAGTTTATTAAGTTCTAAAAATGGTTTATAAAATGGTTTTATAAGTTCGTTGTTGTTACAGGGATATTTCATCTCTGACAATCTGCTTAAACTTATTCCTCTCTTGACAATCTGCTTAAACTTATTCCTCTCTGGTATGTAGTTTTTGTTTCAACATCGATTCTTTGCACCTTGTTTTATAAGCCTTTCTAAATGGTTATAAACCTTATAAATTGTTTATTAACTTTAACGTTTTCATAAACATTTATAAATTGTTTTTAGACTTTATAAAAAAGTTTATAAGTCTTTATAAATTGTTTATAAAATTCTCTGAACCTAGTCAGACAACATTCACCCTTTAGTTCCGATAGAGACTAGAAGAATACAAATTGTGTACATGCTAAATCAGACAATCAGTTCATGAACTCTTATAAGCCTTTATAAATGATATATAAGCTTTTATATATAATATATTAACTCTTGCAAATATTTTATAAACCCTTATAAATTATTTATAAATCCTTATTAATTATTTTTAAATTCTTACTATTAAACATATATCCATGATGTTTTTAAATTTTTTGTTTAAGTAATTGAATGGTTTTGTACGCCCTTATATTTTTGTATAAACTCTTACAACTCTTAAAATGATTATATAAACTCTTACAAAATGATTTATAAACTCTTATGAATTGATTTATAAACCCGTATATGTTTTTGTAAACTCTTATAAATTAATTTATAAACTCTTATAAATAAAGGGGACTCATGAGTAATGTTTTAATATGATTTTTAATCCATACAAATTATTTTATTAACCCTTATAAATGATGTAATTAACCCTCAAATGATTTATAAAATCTTATAAATGGTTTATAAAAATTCTAAAAATGGTATATGAACCTTTTATAATCAATTTACTAAATCTTATAAATGATAAATAAACTTATATAAATGATTTGTAAACCTTTGTAAATCATTTATAAATTTATAAATGATTTATAAATTACACATATAATCTTGATGCATTTGATTTTTTAAATAGTTTTGTAAATCCATACAATCTGTAGTGGAAACAAGATAGGGCTGGTTTTGTAAACTTTTATTAGCTGTTTTATATTTCTGTTTAACTGACTATATAAACGTTTATAAATGGTTTTATAAACATTTATGAATCGGAAAAAAAAATTAATCGACAACCTCATTATTATCAAGTTTATATAGTCAGTTAATAATGAGGTTAAAATGCTCATCACATATTATCTTTATTAATCATTATAGATACTTCATTCTTGCAAACACAATTGATCCATCGAAGAATACATAAATAGATTGAAAGATCAGACTAAATGGTGTATTTCTTGGCATATGTGATGAGCATTTTGGTTGTAGTGACTGGCAAGGCTTAGTATGTACAGTATATGAGGTGGAAGGTTAGTGTTTTGGTAGTGTAACGTTATGTTTTGCTACTTTATGAGATTCATGTCTTGTATGTGTTTTGTGTAGAATATCTAGACAAACAATGGAGATTTATAAACCCTTATAAAATATCTAGACAAGCTTGTATGTGTTTTGTGTAAAATCCCTTATAAGTTAATTTATAAACCCTAATTAGTTAATATATAAACCCTTGTAAATTACTTTTATAAACCTTTATGAGTTAATTTATAAACTCTTATAAATGACTTTATAAATCCTTATAGATGATTTTATAATGGTTTATAAATCACTTATAAATCCTTAAATCCAAGCTTAGCTACCAATCTCCCGGTTTGGGTAGGTGAGTTACAAGGACAACTAGCTCGAATCAGTAAATGCTCGCTGGAACATACTCTACCCTCTCGTAACCAAGCGGCTTTAGCAATAGCAAACAATGTGACTCAAGAGCTTAGAGTTCAATCTTACATTGCTACAAATGCTCCTCTTTGGCTTCGTCCTCTGCTGTATCAGGAAACTAGTGGATAATGCCTCGAGCTACATCCGTATAAAGCTGGTGACGATGGAATTTGGTCTACAATAATCAATCTTTTGATTAGACCTTTCTGTGTATAACAGGGGATCCTCTAACTCTTGTGAGTATTCTGTAGATTAGAAATCGAAAGAAGAGCAATGATTTATTGAGTTACTTGCCATCAGAACGCAGGACAACAGACACAGAGACAACATTACCTATTTCTCCGTGTCTCAAACTCATTCCTTCCATGTCAAGTTTTTCTGGAAACATGGGATACATAGCTGTAGGTAGAAAGACAGAAGTTCCCCTTCTCATTGCCTCTCTAGAGCACATACTAATAAATCAGAGTTACCAAAAAAGTTTTTGTAGTCATGAAAGATATGCATCGTACTTACCTGTCAACTTTGTAGTCATGAAAGATATGACGTTAAAAAGGTTTACAAACTAATTATTGAACTATGATTATAAATGATTTATACAATGATTATAAACTAATTTAGAAAGGCGTATAAACTAATTTATAAAAACTTATAACTAATTTATAAGGATTTATAAAATCATTATATAAGGTATGTAAACTAATTTATAAAGGTTTATAAACTAATTTAATAAGGTTACTAAGTTAATCTATAAAATGATTCATAAAGGCTTATAAGTTAATTTAGAAGAGCAGCTTTGTTTTGTTGCAGTTTTATGAATCATGTTAATGTACTTCTCGCTCACAGACCAAGCAGACCCTTCTATGTAAATCTTGTATCTGCATAACAAGATTCTTGCATAAGCCATGCAAAAGGTTTCTCTAAAAGAGTTTACGTGCTATTTACTTGTGATGGCATTGGCTCGCCAAGGCTGACTGCTTGTAACCTTCCTTTGATTCCTTGGCCCAGTCCTATAATGAACAGACCAAGATAAAGCACGTGGAGAAATACTATCTTAACATAGACAACACAACTCCAAAACTCCCAACTTTTGCATCAGAGTACATCAACTAGTAAGAACTAAACCAAAAATTTCAACAAAGGATTAACAACCTCTGTTAACGAAATTCGTGCTGATCATTCCAGACATTGCTGCCGAGCAATATCAATGTCAAGAAGATGCGGAGACAGGTCAATCTCATCTTCTTCTTCTTCACTAACCGACATATTCAAATCAATGTGACACTTATTACTAACCGAAACCTTTGTCCCGATCTGTTCTTCCAATTGCTCATCTGCATCTGAAAGTGGTTCACACGGTTCGTTGATGTCTAGCATCATCCTAACTTTATCTCTTTCTGCATTGCATTCATCTCTAGGAATGTTCAAGTTAGTGTTGATCTTCTCAGTCTCTGCCTCCCTCTGGACAGCATCACTAATCTTCTGATTCGGTCTCCCATCAGCCACCTCAGAGTTACAAGCAGATTTGGGTTTAACAAGCCATGGTAAAGTAGCTAGACGTTCTTCTTCATCCTTTCTGACTTCAACAACAGGTGTGTTTGAAAAAAGTGTCACATTCAAGTTCAAATCTCTCACAAACTTCACATCCTTGCCATTTGATTCCAACGATGGTTTTCCCGGTCTGAAATCACTTCTTCCTCCGTTAGGATAAGTATAACCAGTCCCATAGAATTTCGATTTTGGTGAAGAAGAAGAAGAAAACTCATTGTAAAACATGTTGTGGTTCTTGTTCCCACACCATGAGTTATATCTAGCTATGCTTTCAAACTGTAATCTATCTCCGAGCCCCCCTTGTTTCTGAGCATTAACCGGGTACCTCTGCTCTGAAGCAACTCTCTGAGGGAAGCCAAAGCTAGGATTTTTCCAAGAAGAATGCATATGGTTCCAAGGGGCAGCAGAATCTGGAGGATTGTATGGATACAAGTGGCGTGGTTGATGAGAAGCAACTTCATGACAAGTGTTAGTATCTGTATCAGCTTCTAGGTCAATAAACGTCCTTTATTTCCACAAGACTGCCTTACTTGAAGAAGAAGCGTTTTACCATCCCCAATACGACCAATCAGGAAACACGATGTGGAGCGTCTCGTTGTTCCCGCAGTAACGAAACAGTGGCGGAGGCGTTAACGGGTTAACTCCGGCGAACTCCGCCACCTTCACAACCGGCCAGTCAACGGCGTTGATGAACACGTTACCCGGCGTTGATGAACACGTCACCGGCGTTGATTTCGCGTCACCGGCCTTGATTCTCTGTTTCGTTGCAGTATCGTGAGAGAGAGAGACGGCGTATTTAGGCGAGAGAAAGAAAATAGAAGGTAAAATAGGGAAGGGTAGTATTGTCTTCTTGTCATTAATGAATTGTGTATTTATGAAAATGTCCCTTGAGTTGTGGTAAAGTTGAATTGTGGTATCACAAAAATGGTAATTGTGAAATTGTCCCAATTTCTTAATATTGTTATATTCAAAAAATTGAGTATTAAAATAATAATTTTTTTTCTGATTTCTCGGCTTTATTTAGAAAAAAAGTATATGGGGTTTGAGAGTTTGGCTTTGTTTCATAATATACATCTAAAATGCAAGTTTTCCAAATAAATATATACACGATTATGTTCATATATGTAAGGTATTCATTTTTAAAATAGGACATCATGTGTAGTAGAAATGTTGAATGTTGTAATCGATTGAACCTAAAACATTGTTTGCAAGCTATGAATGGTTGGAACACTGATGTGTAGATTAATGTAAAGTTGAAATGTTGAAGAATGCAAGATCCAATATGTGACAAAGATTGTACATAAAACATTTGATATGTTGAAACATGAGTGTTGATGGAGCCAGCAAAATTTTTGTTTCAATAGCTAAAAATAATCGAAGCTACTTTATTAGGAATGAAGATCTACCATGTTTTTGTTTTAAATTATATTGTCCCGTAGAGAAATGAGTTTTTAAAATATATTGTAGCTGCATTAAAAGATTTATCAATAATATATCAATATAATTAAAAGCATATGTTTAAATAAAATCAGTGGCAATATATTATAATTGTAGGAGGTGGGCTATACCCACCCCTCAGGGTCCACAGAAAATCATACTCAACCCAATAAGGGACGAGTCACCGACGACTAACGGTCAATTGGGTGACACCCGAGTGGCATCCGTAGAGTAGGGGAGTCATTCTGTCGAGTCTGGAAAATGCCCAATATGAAGGCGCATCAATATACACCAGCTTAGGTCAAGCTTAAGCTGGGGGATTCAACTATAAAAGGCAAAGGGGGAGCACGAAGGAGGGGATCTGAAAAATAAATTGACTAGGCGGCGATTCATATTAGGGTTTTCTTACCTTACTTACTTTGTTATTACCGACTAGTCCGTACGTTATCTCCGGTCAAGCTCTCCGAGCACCGGGGGCTCTCTTTGTACTCACTTCCCGATTATAAATAAAGCTCCTTTCTTTGCTCATTATCGTTCATATCTTCGCAATAACCCACCGACGAGTTTGGTCACTCACCTCATTGATACACGACCGAACTCGGTTCAAATAGTTGGCGCCCACCGTGGGACAAAATGAAGTAGTGTGACGTAACCATGAACGAAGAAGCTCCTTCCGACATACAGCCGGAAGAAACACCACCGGTACCAAACGCCGATACCCTAATGGATTCCGTCATGGCTCGCCTCGCTCACCAAGAAGAAGTTCAGAAGACGACAAACGAGCACTTAGCGGCTATCGCCGCTGTACTCGCAAACCCAGACGGAAACCTTTCGATAACTCGACGATTTCATTTTAACACAAACCCGACTCCTACTCCAGCCAATCCCCATCATGCCGGTTGAAACTCCGGCCGACGCAACACAGCCGGCAAACAGCCCAGATCTACAAAGCACCCGATAAATCGCCGAGCTGCATCTCGCGCTTCAAGATATCCATTCTCAGATCCATCACGTCACGGGCGCCGCACCTCAGATAGATAAGGTCCTCACTACCGCTCTACGCACCTTCACGCGCCGCATCACCGATGTTTGGCTGCGCATTACGGAGAAGATCAGACTGCCGACTTTTGGCAGTAGCGACGACCCGACGGAACACATGACGGCGTTCAACATCGCTATGGGTCGAGCCAATTTCACTGACGCAGAGAGAGATGCCGGCTTCTGCCAACGCTTTGTAGAAAGCCTCGAAGGAGACGCGTTGAATTGGTTCTCTCGGCTGCCGGAGAACTCGATCGATACCTTCCGCAACTTATCGACGGCTTTCCTAAAACATTACATCATGTTTACCAACCAGAAGGCGACGGCCTCCGACTTGTGGCAATTGTCTCAACTGCAAGGTCAGAGCCTGCGGGAATTCATGGAAAAATTCAAAGAGGTAGTCTCCAAGGTAGACGTTCCAGACAACATTGCAGTGGATGCTCTGAAAAATACGCTCTACATCCATTCAAAGTTCCGTGAAGATCTCTATCGCAACTCAACAACGTCGCTCCAAGATGCCATCGCGCGCTCCAATAACTTCATACGAATGGAGGAAGACACCAAGGCGATGATAAGCAAGCAGCACGCGAGTAAACCGACACCGAATAAAACCGCTGACTCGTAACAAGAACCGAGATAACACTCGGTCGACGAGAAGCAGCAAAAGAAGAAGAGCTTTGTCTACATGGTAGACGAAGATGCCCTCTCGGATTCGACCGTCGTGGTTCGTGCCAAAGGATGGAACCATTACCAGCGAAAGGAAGACGGGGAGCAGGGTGAACTGGCCTCCGAGAAACCTGGTCCCGACGAACGCGAACCATACTGATCGTACCATAAGTCCAAAGCACACGAGTCTAAAGACTGTAAGCAGCTTAAGGAGATATTGTTCGGAAAGTACGCCCGTGGCGAAATCCCAACCGATCCACCGAAACCGCGTCCGAAAGGGAACAATAGCTGGAGGAAAAACAAAGACAAAAGGGCGCAAAAATCTTCTGGCAAACCGAAGGAAGAAGAACCCCAACCAAAGGGGGAGAAGTCCAAATCTTGCGACCGCGACGACACACCTCCCGAGGAGGAGCAACCGAAAAACAGGAAGAGGATACAGGTTATACTCGCCGGCCTCGAGTCCTCGTCTGACGATGAAACCGAATCCCGAGATCTACGCTCACTCCTCACCGCGTGACAACTAACTCGCGAGCCCGGCACCGTCCCCGAGCTCCAAGACTCGCTCAACCGATCAAAAGCTCGCCGTATAACGTTCAGCACAGACGTCACCGATCTGCGGGATAAGCTGAACTCAACTAAAAAAGACCTCAGAGAAACGATCAATCAATCAAAGCGACTCGATTTGTGCCAACACTTGGATCAAATTAGGTCTCTCGCCGCACCGGGTCCACACTCAGGAGCGAGTGGCAGATTAAACTTCATCATGGGAGTTTCACCACCCTGCAAGGATTCAGTTCGCGCCGTCAAAGCATACCAGAGACATTGAAAGTCCTCCAGATGCTGGGACTCCCAACCTGCAGACGATCCTCCGATCACCTTCTCGGCCGAGGATGCCATTGGTGTACACATGCCTCATAATGACCCGCTATTGATCAAAGTAGGCATCGCCGACTGTGAGGTAACTAAGGACCTCATAGATACCGGCATGTCCGTCGATCTCATTTCCCACAGCACTCTCGAGAAAATGGGAGTCAACCTCCGCCTCATAAAGCCGTCCGCTCGTTCCCTGACAGGATTCAACGGAGTATCCGAGGAAATGTTTGGCACCATTCGCCTCCCGGTATACACGGGAGGAGTCACCCGCACTGTCAAATTTTCCATCATTGGAACAAATGCTCCATACCACGTGATACTCGGGACGCCTTGGTTACACTCTGCGTCAAATTCCCAGGTAAGGACGTACGCATCCGAATGCTTCACGGCGATCAGGAAGCGGCCCGCGCACTGCTCGTAGCGAGTATCAAGCAAGTGACACCCGAGTGAATTCGATTGCTAAGCCGATCCACAAAATCTACCCGCAAAAGGAGGAGATCATAGAAGTTTAGCTCGACGATAACGACCCGAGTAAAGTAGTCCGGGTTGGTGCTTACCTTCCCGACGAAATGAAGCGCGACTTCGTCGAATTTCTACGGGCCAATCAATCGACTTTCGCCTGGGAAACATCCGACATGAAAGGAATCGATCCCTCCATCACCTCGCACCAATTGAACGTTGACCCAACTTTCAAGCCTATCAGGCAGAAGAGGGGAAAACTCAGACCGGAACGTTCCAAAGCAGTGAATGAGGAAGTTGAACGCTTACTCGCGGCTGGTTCGATCACAGAGGTTCGATACCCCGAGTGGTTGGCAAACCCAGTCGTTGTCAACAAAAAGAATGGCAAGTGGCGAGTCTGTGTGGATTTTGTTGGGGTCAAAATCGGTACGACGGAATTAATAGCCAAAACTTCCCGCGAAAATACAAAAAGAACAGTTTTATAAAACCCGAGGAATAGTTTTATAAAACTCAAAGTCATTTATAAAACTCGCAGACCGTTTTATAAAACTCGAAAGATCGTTTTATAAAACTCGAAGATCGTTTTATAAAACTCGAAGATCGTTTTATCAAACTCGAAGGTCGTTTTATTAAACTTAAGGATCGTTTTATAAAACTCAAGAATCGTTTTATAAAACTCGAATATTGTTTTATAAAACTCGAATATTGTTTTATAAAACTCGAGAAATCGTTTTATAAAACTTGAGAATCGTTTTATAAAACTCAAAGATCGTTTTATAAAACTCGAAGATCGTTTATAAAACTTGAGAAATCGTTTTATAAAACTCGGGAATCGTTTTATAAAATTCGAAGATCGTTTTATAAAACTCGAGAAATCGTTTTATAAAACTCGAGAATCGTTTTATAAAACTCGAAGATCATTTTATAAAACTCGAAGATCATTTTATAAAACTCGAAGATCGTTTTATAAAACTCGAGAAATCGTTTTATAAAACTCGAGAATCGTTTTATAAAACTCGATGATCATTTTATAAAACTCAAAGATCGTTTTATAAAACTCGAGAAATCGTTTTATAAAACTCGAGAATCGTTTTATAAAACTCGAAGATCGTTTTATAAAACTCGAAGATCGTTTTATAAAACTCGAGAAATCGTTTTATAAAACTCGAGAATCGTTTTATAAAACTCGAAGATCGTTTTATCTAACTCGAAGATCGTTTTATAAAACTCGAGAAATCGTTTTATAAAACTCGAGAATCGTTTTATAAAACTCGAAGATCATTTTATAAAACTCAAAGATCATTTTATAAAACTCGAGAAATCGTTTTATAAAACTCGAGAATCGTTTTATAAAACTCGAAGATCGTTTTTAAGAAAGCGTAATAGCTCACTGGTCTAGCTCCATGGCACCGAAAATGTATCAGGGCTCAAGTGATTCACCGAAGCGACGAGACCTTGCAAAGCTGCTTTTCAAGTGTCAGTAGCGGAACGTTCTGTCAATCGGAGAAGGTTTTTGGTGAAGACGTGGGCTATCGGTCTAGGCGCAAGGGGTGTTTCTGTATGCAAGTGCTTGTCTTGTTATATATATATTCTAGAGCTCGAGGAACGCCTGCCACTTTCTCAATCGAAAATGTCAACTGTGAAGATTCTCGCGTTTCTTTATGTAATTTCAGGATTTCTTTTCGTTGATCGGATCGAGCACATAGTAAGAAACCCTAAGTCAATTCATTCTCTTTGGCTGAAGTCAATCTTCATCAAGATGGCTTACCGGTAAGTGAATGAGCCCCTTGAAAGCTTGATGCAAATAAACGAAGTTTTGTTCTATGCCTCCGAGTTATATATCCGCGTTTAATTCTAGTCATTGAATAAATCAAACTTTGATGAATAACTAATTCTTTTTTAGTTATTCTTTTCCCCTTTATTAGTCATTAATAAC